ATAAAAGGCAGGGAACATATACATATACCTATGTTTAATGTTTTCAACTTCTTCTGAAGCGAAACAGCCTACTGACTTCTTCCTGAAGACAATTACTAATGCTTTGCGTTAAGATGTTTTCAATTATTAAAAAAAGGTAACGATCCCACTGCACTTTCCCTTCCTTTTTTAAAGATCTGCTTTTGAATTTGGGTAAGCGTGAGCTCGAACGCAGCGCCTAGCAAAAATGGCCTCTCAAGATACTCAGATCAGACAGCTTTATCGTCTTTTTTTACTGTTATACATACATTTCGGTATAATCAATCCTTATGTGGATACTGCCCAGGATTCGCGTCCTGTTTATGAAAGATCAAAATACTGTTCATACAAAAATCGAATATAGTTATCATGGCAGCAAAAACCATCCGTAAAGGAACAACAAATCAATGTCTCATTTTTATGACGCAAATTAATTTGAGGATGTTGCAGTGAACGTATAATAAGTAGTGCGGCACGTTTTCGGTGGTCTTTCACACGTGACATATATCTTAATGAGCCGTACACAAGCATTTTTGCCGCGCATCTCCGCGACCAGTCATTTATAAATATACTTACGCGAACGACGAGAATATTATTTTTGACTTAGCACTCTGTGAAGAGGACTTGGCCGTAAAGAGTGTTTCAATGATTTAAGAGTACCTAGCACTGCCAAGGTACCAGATTAAACGTACTAGAAATTTCCACTATACAACGATGCCCAAATTAACCGTTTCACCGACAGCTCTAATTGAAGAATATTGAATCATTGATAGTAGGTTCCTGTCGTCAAGCGAAAAGGTTCGCCCCGAACGAAAAGCATTTTCTAAAATCAGAATTACCACGTGTGAATTTACCCGAAAAAAATATCAGCGTGTGAGTAGATACAGCGACTGTTTTGAATTTTTACAAAAACACGACCTTGCATTCAAGCAGACCTCGCATGGCGGAGCCAGACCTTTGACGTCCAGGCGCATCACTTTAACAACAAATATTGGCTATTCATTGGCTTGAAATACCACGTACGCCCACGATAATGTACACTTGGTAGGTTATTGTAGTTCTACTAATTGCGCCGGCTATTTACAAAAGAAAAAAGATTGCGTTAACTTACTTTCTAATGTCCTGCTTGATTTTGAACTTGAACAGTAGTATGAGCTTGTTTGAATAATGAACTTATCATTGAAATAGTTCGTATCTTATTACGGTACGTTTTGCATGGCAACCACACGTTTGGCCACTTGTCCCTGGCTAAAGGCTCAGAATCGTCGATGATGTATTAATTGCGATTCGCGACAAAGTACCCTGTAGACACGTCTCTACTATTCATGATTTCGCTTTTGCGTTTACCCACTCTGACCGAATAAGCTTTTTCGTGTAGTACCTTACGGACGTTTACTTGAACAGAACGTGCGGGAATCATTTTTATACTGTTTTAAAGGTGACGTAGTGACACTCAGTCCTAAAAAGCAGCTTTGAGTCCGACAAGCATGAGCCACAAATCCGGAAAATAGAGAATCGGCAAAAACAAAAGACGCTCTTAATTTTCAAAGCGATCCTTAAAATCTGTACTGAAGTTGTTAATAGGCTACTTTGATTTGACCAGTTTCACTTTTAATCTGCCTCGAAATAAATTCAAAGGCGAGCTGATAGTAATATCACTTTAAACGGCTAGAGCATATATTTACGCAGAGCGATGCAAAATACATTAATAACCATTTATTATAACCAGAAGTTTTTAAATTTAGTTTGTACGTCATAAGTGCTTTCCGGCTGACGAAAGGAAGATGACCCTACTTGAGATTCCATCACTTCTAAGCAAAGCAAGTAATCATAAGTTATGCTAATGTTCTTGCCGTTCTCAGCTAATAGGTCCAGGTATTATTTGAAATTAAATATCGTCGATAACGTTTTTTTTCTCTAGAATACCGACACAGCGAGGCATGCTATTATTATACCCTTTTTGCTTTCGTTAAGTCTTCATGTTCGCTAGGACCATAGTCGGATTAAGCGAGCTCTGGCAGGCAGCCAACATTGCAATTCTCGA